AATCTAATAATTGGGTCCATCAGAAAATCTTCAAAATCTTCATTTTTTATGTATATTTAGTGATAATTTTTTACCACCTTGTCCAAATTCTATAATTCTTTTTTTTTTAGTAAGGGGGTACCTCAGGGGCGATCCCATATAAATTTGGTCAGAGTCTAAAAATTGGGTCCATGACAAAATCCTCAAATTCTTCATTTTTTTATATATGTTTAGCGATAATCCTTTACCACCTTGTCCGATTTCTATGAATCTTTTTTGTTAGTAAGGGGTGTGCCTCAGGGATGGTCTCGTATAAATTTGGTCAAAATCTGATAATACAAAAAAATCGTCAGACAAAAACAGAGAGATGCATGGAAATCCTACTGTGAAGAAATCGAAGATTTCCCGCAGGCAAAGAGGCTTCAGAAAGCTCTTTCAAAAGATCCACACCGAAGCATTGGTGCGATAATCAAAGAGGATGGCACGAAAACTGCCAACCTCGAAGATAGCATCAAACTTCTGCTGTCAACACACTTCCCTGACTCGGTCATCACAGACGTGGCCGACTAGGCAGAGGAAGAATACAATCCATCTGTCTATGATTGGCAAACTGTCAAACACATTGTAGACGATGAAAAAATTAGATGGGCAATATCCAGCTTCTCTCCATTTAAATCGCCAGGACCTGACGGTATCTATCCAGCCCTACTTCAGTGGGGTCTGGAAAAACTCACACGGCACCTGGTGGGTATATTCAGATTCTCGTTGGCTCTTAGGTATATCCCCAAAAAATGGAGAGAGGTAAAAGTGGTATTTACACTCAAACCTGGGAGGATGGGTTACACTGTCCCAAAAATATACCGACCAATTAGTCTGACATGAAGACATTGGAAAGGATATGCGAAAGGTACATAAGGGATGCGGTGATTACAACAACACCACTACACCCAAACCAACATGCATACACCCTAGGCAGATCTACTGATTCAGCCCTTCATCTAGTTGCAGGCCGGATAGAAAGATCCCTGGACAATAAGGAGTCCGCCTTGGGTATTTTCATAGACTTTGATAAAACCACCTTCCCAAAGATAATACACTCACTAACCAATAGGAATGTTCCAAAAATGGTTAGTGGGTGGATAAATAACATGCTCTCAAAGCGAGCAGTAAACATAAGTGTAGATGTGAATATAAGAGGCTTGGTTGCGAGGGGATGTCCACAGGGAGGGGTGCTATCACCTCTACTGTGGAATATGGTCCTCAACACCCTCATCAGCCGCCTCAATAATAACGGTCACTACACAATAGCATATGCAGATGACCTGATCATTCTGCAAACAGGGAATTTTGAGAACATTTTGAGAACAATACAAAAATTGTTTTTGTATTGTTTTTGTATTATTTTTGTATTATTTTTGTATTATTTTTGTATTGTTTTTGTATTGTTTTTGTATTGTTTTTGTATTGTTTTTGTATTGTTTTTGTATTGTTTTTGTATTGTTTTTGTATTGTTTTTGTATTGTTTTTGTATTGTTTTTGTATTGTTTTTGTATTGTTTTTGTATTGTTTTTGTATTGTTTTTGTATTGTTTTTGTATTGTTTTTGTATTGTTTTTGTATTGTTTTTGTATTGTTTTTGTATTGTTTTTGTATTGTTTTTGTATTGTTTTTGTATTGTTTTTGTATTGTTTTTGTATTGTTTTTGTATTGTTTTTGTATTGTTTTTGTATTGTTTTTGTATTGTTTTTGTATTGTTTTTGTATTGTTTTTGTATTGTTTTTGTATTGTTTTTGTATTGTTTTTGTATTGTTTTTGTATTGTTTTTGTATTGTTTTTGTATTGTTTTTGTATTGTTTTTGTATTGTTTTTGTATTGTTTTTGTATTGTTTTTGTATTGTTTTTGTATTGTTTTTGTATTGTTTTTGTATTGTTTTTGTATTGTTTTTGTATTGTTTTTGTATTGTTTTTGTATTGTTTTTGTATTGTTTTTGTATTGTTTTTGTATTGTTTTTGTATTGTTTTTGTATTGTTTTTGTATTGTTTTTGTATTGTTTTTGTATTGTTTTTGTATTGTTTTTGTATTGTTTTTGTATTGTTTTTGTATTGTTTTTGTATTGTTTTTGTATTGTTTTTGTATTGTTTTTGTATTGTTTTTGTATTGTTTTTGTATTGTTTTTGTATTGTTTTTGTATTGTTTTTGTATTGTTTTTGTATTGTTTTTGTATTGTTTTTGTATTGTTTTTGTATTGTTTTTGTATTGTTTTTGTATTGTTTTTGTATTGTTTTTGTATTGTTTTTGTATTGTTTTTGTATTGTTTTTGTATTGTTTTTGTATTGTTTTTGTATTGTTTTTGTATTGTTTTTGTATTGTTTTTGTATTGTTTTTGTATTGTTTTTGTATTGTTTTTGTATTGTTTTTGTATTGTTTTTGTATTGTTTTTGTATTGTTTTTGTATTGTTTTTGTATTGTTTTTGTATTGTTTTTGTATTGTTTTTGTATTGTTTTTGTATTGTTTTTGTATTGTTTTTGTATTGTTTTTGTATTGTTTTTGTATTGTTTTTGTATTGTTTTTGTATTGTTTTTGTATTGTTTTTGTATTGTTTTTGTATTGTTTTTGTATTGTTTTTGTATTGTTTTTGTATTGTTTTTGTATTGTTTTTGTATTGTTTTTGTATTGTTTTTGTATTGTTTTTGTATTGTTTTTGTATTGTTTTTGTATTGTTTTTGTATTGTTTTTGTATTGTTTTTGTATTGTTTTTGTATTGTTTTTGTATTGTTTTTGTATTGTTTTTGTATTGTTTTTGTATTGTTTTTGTATTGTTTTTGTATTGTTTTTGTATTGTTTTTGTATTGTTTTTGTATTGTTTTTGTATTGTTTTTATTGTTTTTGTATTGTTTTTGTATTGTTTTTGTATTGTTTTTGTATTGTTTTTGTATTGTTTTTGTATTGTTTTTGTATTGTTTTTGTATTGTTTTTGTATTGTTTTTGTATTGTTTTTGTATTGTTTTTGTATTGTTTTTGTATTGTTTTTGTATTGTTTTTGTATTGTTTTTGTATTGTTTTTGTATTGTTTTTGTATTGTTTTTGTATTGTTTTTGTATTGTTTTTGTATTGTTTTTGTATTGTTTTTGTATTGTTTTTGTATTGTTTTTATTTAATCCTGAACACCGTTATTGCGTTAATTGCTGTGACTTTGGCAGCTATCAAAGATGGAATCCCCTTTTAATAAGCACACCGACATACTATTAGTTCTAGGATATTGTTAAGGTAACTTGCTAAAGTGTCCGCGTGTATTGAGAGAGGTACCTATCCAAACCGGAGAATTTCAAATTACATAACTTTTGCCCGAATAGAAAGATGTCTTCGAGGAACAGGCAAGTTGAAATCAGTCAGAACACACATTGCGGAAGAAGATCTGCTTCAAATCATTGATAAAAATGGGACTGGGATTCAAAAAATCATTACGTCGGATCTTTAGCCTTTAATTCGTCCCTTCCACATCCAGCTAGTGCAAGAATTATTGCCACTTGATCAAGGATCACGTTTAAATTTTTCATAAATTGTTCGGGAATGCAGAGTAGTTGACAACGGATGCCACACTTAATATCTTGTTTATTGATGAGTATTGTTTTACATGTCATGGCATAACTAACCTCAGATGAAAATCCACATGCTATTAAAGTTAGACATTATAAATGAGAATTTCAAATTAATATTTGAGTCGGAATCATTGGCAATTTTTTCAAGAAGTGTTTGCCAGAATTAGTAAAAGACTTGCCCCTCAATTTACATCGAAACATGTTCTTCATGCACGATGGTGCACAACATTTTGCACGTGCCGTAAGAGAATATCATAATGAACAATTGGCTGGTAGATGGATGGTAGGGAACAAGAGACACCCATTCATTGGCCTCCGCGGTTACCAAATTTAAATCCTTGCGACTTCTTCTGAGAAGCATTAAAAACACAAGTATATGAGGTTTAAATTACTAATTCTGGACAATTGGGAACAGAATACAAAATACTGCAAACGCACTACGAGAAAACGACGATTTAAATTTTTTACGTCGAGTTGACCTCTGTATTAATGAAGACGAAGATCATATTGACCTTTTGTTGTCCACTAATGTGTATTATATATTACCATTTTAATAAAGCTATTCTAAGAATATCAGTTATCAGTTTGTGAGAAAACATTTTTTTCCTTCGAAACTATGCGGAATACGGAGTTTATACAAGAGTCAAAAGTCAAAAAATTAAGAGTAGAGGAAACCTTTCTGTTAAAAAAGTCTTAGTACTAAAGTATTACTAACCCAAAGAAAATTTAAAAAAAAATACCAAGGGTGAGGGTGGTTTTAACCCTTTTACAATTTATTTTGGGTTTCTTCGAATACTGAAAGTAGTGTAATCCTCTTGACAAATTTCATTATATTGGTTTCACGTACAAAAATGTGATTTTTTTTAAATAAACTTTGAAGGGCAACAGTACATTTTAGCGTATACTATAGGTATGTAAATTGGATTCAATGGACCTATTTAGACCTCTATAATACGTGGTAGCTCTATGTCACATGAATTTTGAGACACCCTATATACCAAGACATTTTTGTGACAGAGTTCTAAGTGGAAAAAATAAAAAATATATATTTTGATATTTAGCGTATACTATAGGTATGTAAATTGGATTCAATGGACCTATTTAGACCTCTATAATACGTGGTAGCTCTATGTCACAGGAATTTTGGGACACCCTATATACCAAGACATTTTTGTGACAAAGTTCTAAGTGGAAAAAATAAAAAATATATATTTTGATAATTATACGCTTCTGCAATAAATTGTTTGAAGGAAGTGTAATAATTTTGGTTTTTCTCTATAAAAAATACGTTTGTTTACATACTTTATTTATTTATTGTTCCTAGCCGTGACTAATAATAGTAATACTAATTAATTATGTAGACTTTGTGAGCAATGACAAAATGATAATATCGGCAATGACATAAAATTTTCCGTACTTACCCAAACAAACACAGTAGTAAGGCGAATAAATGCGTTTTGGTTGTTGTTTCAGTTTCCACTGAAGTAATTATTTGAGCGTGACACGATGGACACGTCGTGGAAGTTGGAGATGGTCCCACGGGTACCTGGGACACCGTGTGTGTGACAATAACTGAAAAATAACAATTCGTTTAAATGATAGAACTTTTTCACTATAAAAATAATTTAAATATAAACTAAATGAGTTCTTATTGTTGTTGTCGTCTTCTTCAGTCAGTAAACGGAATGTCTTTAAAAACATTATCGTTTCTTTTTTAAATTAATAGCGCTAGAAATTCAGGCTCAAGATTTGTATTATTTGAACCAATCATTTTATTTGTTTGAAGAATCTTGTTAAAAATATCTAAAAGTGCGTCCTCACCGAATCAACATTATCGATCGACTCTGTCTATCGACCTTGTCGACTTTGTATGTACACGGCAATCGACTGTGTCGATCGACGAAATAAATCGATCAACATGTCGATTTGTTTTCCTTCGCCTGTCGGTAAACATGAAAGAGCCGTCGATCGAGTTTAGTGTGTGGACGTGTTTTCGACGTTTGACATTCGACAAACTGTTAGTACTGAGTACTAAGTTCTCAGTAACGTCTTGCCTTGTTGATATTGCAGTTGTGTTTTCGTTGGAGAAATGGATTGGAAACAAGATAAAGTAATAGCCTTTATATACAATACAAACTGAGAACAAATCTATGGGATTTTAAAAACAAAAACTATAAGAGCAGAAACTTGAGGCACGATTCCCTTATGGAAATTGCTAATGAATTTAACGTCGAGAAGCAAATATTCAAATTCACTTTCCGATATTCGACAAAAATTTCTAAAACCACCATTATTCCTATATTCAAGGCTCAATATGTTGACGTCATCTTTTTTTAAATCTTCTATCAAATTACTAGCGTTGTATTTAGTTCTACTTTGGAGACTTGGTCGAACACAAAATCTTCTTTTGCGTGCAAGTTTTATTTTTTAGTCACGATGATAATATATGCGGTACAAGCAACTCTAATGTCATCTTCGTCAGACATGTTCATTTCGACTGATCGACAAACATTTCTGTCAACTCTGGTGTGGACAGATGCAGTTTTGTAGACTTGTTGATCAACAATGTCAAAAACTCGAGGTGATAAAGAGGCGAAAGGTGTGTATAATGGCGGAATAAAGTAAGATTTTTGGGTTTTATTGTGAATTGGTAATCTTTGCCAGCCGTAAAGAAATTATACAGTAAATCCATTTTAAATCATTTGTAGATTTGTGTTTGAGCAGTTGAACTGCTTATTTTTGTTATTCTTCAAATTGGAACCTGCAAGGGATTTAATTTAACTCCATTTATTCGGTATGCCGTGATCGTTATTTGATATACGGCACGTGTTATTCGATGGATTGCTATATGAATTTAGTGGGTATGTACATTTGTTTTTAGTTGATTTCCAAGAATCCAGTTGATTTTATTATTAACATTTTTACAGCGACTAGCGGAGATTTGAGAGTACGTCTCGATCTCGATACGTTTTAGTATTGAAATGTGGTATTCACATTGATTACATTCTAGGATTAGATTTGCCATGATCTGGTACTTATATAAGCGTAATTTTTTGTAGGGCCTTAGTGACGTCTCCCTTAGTGACGTCTCCCTTGTTACGTCTCCCTTGTTACGTCTCTCTTGTGACGCCTTTCGGTCTTGACTTGGTTTGTCGTTAACTCCCAATTTTGTATGGAGCACCAAGCTGAAGGTAGTAGCTGATAGTTCTGGGCTACTAAGAAAACAGCGTCTTCGAATGCGAAGCAGCGCACACACTCCATCAGCTGATAAGATGGGCATATCCGCGGAGTTTTAGCGAGTTCCATCAATCTGGAACCGTATTTGTGTGATAAATTTTAACCAACTTTCAGCCGTTTATGTGATAAATTTTAACCAGCCTTCAGCTGAAAGTATCGAACCAAGTTTGTTTGTTAACTATGTATACGGTGATCATAGGGACTGGGTCCGGTGAACGTGTTATAATTAGTATCATTGTATTTAGATCAACAATACAATGTTAGTATATATACATTTGGTTTATTAGATATATTTGTAAATATAGGTAAACTAACACGGCATGAGCTCATACGTTATAGGTTAAGTATTATTAAGATTATTATTTTAGTGTTAAGTGATTTTGGGTATCCTAGTTCAATTATTTTAAGCTAATCTGGTTTGAAAGTTTTAACCTTGTGAGGTTATTAGTTTTATAACTATCTATGTAGTAGAATTTTAGTGTTCAGTAGCACTGTTACGTTATCTGCGAATAACGATTGTACATATTTTGGAATAATAATTTGTTGAATAATGTATGTAATTGTCAGGTTGATAATAATTTGCCTAACATTATAGATACATAACTATCTTTAAATTTAATTAAAGAAAGAGCCAACTAAACTGTTTCTTTTATTTGAGCCTGTTTGCCTAGTGGTATTTATTCCACCTCCACTCTAGGTACAGCCAATTTGTTGTTTTGGTGGTTGGTTTTCAGCAGGGGAGTATTCCGCGGGAAAATAAACTAGCGTCCTTTTAAGAGCTTTTAAATAACCAGACCACCTCCGACTAGAGCTATCCGCGGTAAATACCCCAATTGTCGCTAGGGTAATTATGTACTATTCGTTGGCTACTCGTGTATATAGAGGTAGCCGGCGAATGTTATTTATTATGAAAATAATATGGTATTGCTAAGGAACATTTCAGTCAATGGCAGTACCTTTACATCTCGTCTTAGATCCTTACTGGGTGGTTTTATTATCCAGGCACCGGCTTAATCTTATGATACAAAGCCAGTCAACTTAACGACGTCAACCGGTCTACTCGCCTGTTCTGCGACCTCTCTTCTACAGTCATTTTCCCCTTTCAACCAAACAATTCAACTGCATCTAATTTACTTTTATAAAGGTACAATTTGAGAACGCGAGACCGATGCAAGCGACCGCAACAAACGACCGATGCACTTACGTTACGCTTCACACTTTTGGCAAGTCGACTACAAGGGACCGCAGACGATTATGTCAGTGCAACGGCATAACTTAGCGCGACATGCAGCAAATACTGCTGTGAGAATGGTGATGAAAGTGCTACCGCGGTCTCTTGCCTCGGTCGTCTACCTCGGTCGCTCGCTCGCAAATATGTTTCATATAATTACATAGAATTGAGACGTAAAGAGACACATTTCGGTCGCTTGTCGCGGTCGCTTGCATAGGTCTCCTGCCTAGATCTCGCCTTCCCAAACTGCACCTTTAGAACAGTAGTGTCTCTGCCTTTTTCTTGTTTCTGCCGCTTGCAGCTGCAGCATGTTTCTGCAGCGACCATAGAACGAGTACCTAAACAACACTGTCTCGGTCGTTTGTCGCGGTCGCCTGTCTCGGTCTCCTATATAAGTCTTACGTTTTAAAATGATATATTAAAAAATAATTTAAATAGTAACAGTTGTTTAGTATAGACAACTTTGTGTGGCTGATTTTTACATCATTACTAATTCGTCTTGAATTCGATTCCACAATCGACACAGAAAGAAAATCCTTAGTGTTCACGTGAAACACCAAAGTTAATTAAATTTAAAGATTCACCTGAATCGATACTTAACTTTACGAAGGTACATAAAACAAATATTAAGGTAATAAAATGTATCCTAAAGTAGAGCAACCGACATGTGGATAGCCGCAATTGGTCAATTGCTTTCATGATCAATTAAATTTTTATGTAAGTATAACATTTTTCTGAAGGTTTTCCAACAT